TATTTCACATTAAAATTTATATATTTATAAATCAGTAGAACAAACACCGTCTAGAACTTTAGAGGTAGTAACTTTTAATTCGATAATTTCATGACAATTTTGCAAAGATGTGGAAGAAATTTGGGTTCCTTTTGTAGGTGATTCTGTTCGATGTTTCAAAGATAAAACCTTACCATTTTCATTTCTTGAAGTACTTTTGCTTACATTTGAAAAACCAAACATTTTGTAAATTGAATATCGAAACTAAAACAAAAGCTCCCCTGTATAAAGATTGAAGAAATCTTTAGCATTTTTTCAAAAATTTGTAATTGTTTATTCAGTTAAATATATCTACTAATGGAAGCAATAATAGACAAAAAAAATATGAATTTAATTCTATATCGTTTATTGGTTACAAGTAGACCTACCTGAGTATTCAAACCGATATAAATGATGGGATTATAGCAAATACTGCTTTTAGCTACAAGAGAAGGTATTACAGCTATAGAGGGGCTTATTTCGGTAACGTTGCCGAATTGAATAATGAGAGCTAAGGTTGCATATGGACTCCAAGCAAACAAAAAAGCCAAAATCATTAACAGAGCCATCGTTGAAACTCTGCATTCTGCTCTACTAACTTTTCCCGTATTCCTTGCTTTCTGAAAATTTAGTTTTTTGTGTTCACTTTTACTTAATAGAGCATTTAGAGGGGGACTTTTTACGAAATTATTCATGCAACGTGCATTAATTGTATATTGTAATTTATTAATGTTATTTCGATTATAACATTCTTTTAATTTCGATATATTTTGGACTAAAAATGCGATTTCTATAACTTTATTTTGGGGGGTATTACCTTTCTTACTGTTACCAATATCTTCAGGTAACTGTAAATAATAATAGTAACCGGTAGTGCTAGTCCAAAGAAAAAAAGAAAGAGAATGTAAGATGTAGCTCCCATTGATCTTTCTCCCCAATTCACTGAGCAACTGAAAAAAAATGCTATCATTAATTTGAATCAAGAAAGGGCACAGAAGTGTAAGTGCATTCACATTCAGTTTCAGATTTTTATCGTCTTTAAGAGACTAGTAAAGTTTAATTTATATATTTAATGTTGACGGATATTGCAGTTTATAAGAAGTTCAGTTCCCGATTACTACTTTCAAAATTTAATAAGAAAATAATTATTATCAATTATATGCTTTTCAAAGCAGATAAGTTATAAATAAATTAAATTCTCCATATTTTTATATTTTACTTAAGGATGTTTGGGAGGTATGTCAAAATGCTACGAGACAAATAAAAATTTGGAAGAGCGTTCCTCATTCAATTCTAAAACTCCTGTAAAAATTACAAATCGATTCACTAAACCGTTAAAAAGTTATTGAAATTTTAAAAAATTGTAATTTTACACGTCATTTTATGGAGATTCGTTAACCGAACAGATTAAATTTATTTTTATTAACAGAAAAAAAGCTACCAGAAATTTCAAACTTTTATAATAAGTAACTTGAACTCTGGAGAATCACTTTAGCGTAAGGTTATTCAAATTCACTAAATGGTTATCGAGGAAAAAATGAAAAATTAGCTGAAAATCTCGTTTTTACTTGATAATATAATGATAATATTTATAATTGTCTGAAATAAATGCAATTTTAAAGTTTTAATTATTATTTAAACATATTAAAAAGTTTTACGCTCATTATTAATAGAGATTGAAACTAAATATTTTTTTGTTTCGAAGTTGAAATCAAGGCATATTCACTGCCAAAAGTCAGTTAAAAATTTTCCATATTATTCGTTATTTCTTATTTTATTCAAAGTTTTTGGTCAAATTCCAAATTTTCTCTCAAACCGTATACTTTTTTTAGTATAGATAGTATTTATTTACCTCATGATATGCTGCAAAACCTATCTAACCACGAATTTCTAATTTTATGTACTCTTGTCTCCGATTGTACCTCCCAAACATCCTTAATGATTTATTCAGTTGTAGAATTACGCAAAAGTGGTGTATCTACTGTAGTGAGCATATTTTATACAGCAGCATTTACTTTTGAACTTTCTCTGTGATAAACAAACTTTTTAATTTCAGTGAAAACAAAACATTTATCAACGGCACAACTTTTATCCATCTATTTTACTCATTGTTAACGAAAGGAAGTAGTAAATTGAAGGAAAATATTATTGTGTATATTATAGATTTATAGCAATAAACAAAACTTCTGCCAAAAAAATACTTTCTAAATATTTCTAGCAACAATATTTGCAAAACCTCATTCTGCAGGAAATATTAACTCAGATCATCACTTGCCAACAATTTCTATTCAAGATCCTAGAATCACATCATTTGACCCAAATTGAAATCAAGTCGAAAATAGTAACAAAACAAACATAAGCACTTCTGATTATAAATTTAGTATCAATAATTACGTTTTATCATAACAATATCAAAATGATCTGTAGTATTCACTTCCTTATTGCGTTCTATTCTAATTAAGACGAAAAGAATAATATGTGTACCTAATATTGGCTGCCTCATTAACGTATTCACTCCATCCAAGTAAAGGTGGAACCGTCATCACGAATGATAAAATCCATGCAATTCCTATCATCGTCACAGCCGTACTAATTTCTAGCGGTTTTTTTCGAAATGGCCCAGTTATCATCGTGTATCTTTCAAATGCCAAAATTGTTAGAGTTAAAATGGACGTGATACCTGCAGTTAATTGACAATATTTACATTGTAGTCAATTATACTTATACAAGAGTAGCAAAGAAACATGAGAAAAGAAACGATAATTATGTGAAGTAATACGTATTAATTAAATTTGAACCGACGCCAACGGGCATGCAAGCCATGGACCACAAAGGACAAGAGAAAGCAACTAGAATTCAACAACGCTAAAACCTGAAGAACGGAACCGGAAAACCTCCAGGCGGATTTCAGACTTAATTGAGTTAATATCCTCTGAATAATGTAGTTAAACTGAACAATAATTATCAGTGCAAAAAATAGCAACAGTCAGTCCTTTGTCTTTAGTCCTAGCGAATGAGTGCTTTAAATTACGCTGTTTCATTTATGACTATTTTTTATTTATTACATCGCATGAAATTCTATTACATAGTTCATTCTCAAAATTGAAAAATTTTTTGATTAACCTTTTTTCATTAAAGTAGATATGTACACATAAAAAATAAGTGGTGTAAGAAAATTTCAGCTCGAAATATCAAGAATTTTGAAAATTTTGAACCACCTTCAAATATCAAATATATGTAATTTCTAACCCTCATTATAATGAAATACTGAGAGATTGATTACTTTTCTATAACAAAAAAAAATTTTTGATAAAAAACAAAAATATTTATTCACTATTTTCTTAATGTTAAAAGTTCATATGCAGCATCTAAAAAACGTCTTATATTTATTTTTTGAGAGCTTTATTTATAATATCGGCTGGCGCCACGTTCGTGTGTTTGCCTTAGTAGTATACAGGTAAGGCAAAATGTTCACCAGACACAGAAATTGCACATTTCTTTGTCGGCATTTATTCTTATTCTGTTGATATCTTTTGAACTAGGCGTAACAACCCTTAAAAGCTTTAAATTGATATGTTACTTTATTACTTATATGAAAAGATGGTATTCGTACAAATTTTTCTCTACACGAAGATAAATAAATTTTTATGGCAAAGCAAAAATTACAATTTTCTTTTGTAAATGAGTAAATTTGCTGTAGAAATAGTAGAATTTATTAGGTAATTTGCAATCATCTCAATTTTGAGATTTTTGGGTCCAAATTGTAATTTTTATTATTTTCGCTTACGAAGCAACGGGCTAGTGGGGTAAATTGTAAATATCGCTTTAATATTTAGGTAAATTTTCCTTTTTCATTTTCTCCATGTACCACTCGCATTTTTCAAAAGATGATGCCACCCTTTAATGATCTCGTGTAATAGAATATCCTTATGTTCGGTTCCCAATTCGCTACTAGTGTATACATATAATAGTAAAAAGGAAAAAGAAATTTTCGTATACATTCAGAGGAAGAGTATTATAAATGTAGCTACACGAACTGGAACAACAGCAAATTGTTGATGGCTTTATACATTTTTTTTGAAACATTTTTGCCTTTTATTACACCTCGTTACAAAGATTATAAAGCATCAATTTTCTGTTCAACTAATTGAAAAAACAAGAGTAAAAATCTGTTTTGTCTTAAAATCTCATGTTCCAATGCTTAGTTTAGGTACGATCACATATTAGAAATGTTACATAAGTGAATTGAATTAACATTTTAGTTTATTTTGAATTGATTTATTAAATTAAAACTTTAATATTATAAAAATTCACTTACCAAGCCATGCCATAAAAAATCCATATATTTGGCACATTACAGAACCAAAGATCCATCTGTGATACAAAGCAGAAATAAAAGTCCATGGATTTCCTAAAATTGATACCAAAAAGTCTCCGAATACCAAGTTGAACAAAATTACATTCAGGGGAGTCCATAACTGAAACAATATAAATATTTTATTTTAAAACGATTTCAGTTCCTTTGTATCAATTTTTGAGATAAACAGAAACGAATTAAATAAAAAACATTAAATATCTACTAATACCAAGGATTTCACAAGAATGTAATTGTATCAGATGCGATTCACGTAATTAGAAAAAGCAAAATGTTGTTAAGGAACATTCAATTTATTTCAACATATACATTAAATATTTACAGATTGCTCAACTACTTAATATGATTGTAAGGGTTTATTCAACGGAGATCCAATTTGTGTCAAACATGAAACGAAAAAAGCTACACTTGACGTTAAAAGTCGACCTTTAGTCATTTCTCAATAACTATCAAATCCATTAATTTATTAGAAAGGACACTTTTAATTAAAAATGATAATCATAATGAAAATAATGGATCAGTGATCTTAGTGATAACCTACTTTTTGTAACTTACAAATTCCAAGCAATATTACCACATAAAAATGGAGGCACTTGTCTTATTAATTTATATTTACCCCAAACAGACAATTATCTTACTTATTCCTTCCCATTCTATTCTTGGAGCTAACAAATGACAACCCCCAGGACTCTGCTCAACAAACAATTTTTTATTCTCGCGCTTTTGTTCGAATGCAGAAAAGTAAATTTTAATATCTCCTACGAGAGGACTTATCAAATTCATCTTTCCATTATGGAATTGTATTTACCATTCTACTGGAAAGATTAAATAAAAGATCCGATGTTTTGAACCATACAAAAAACTATTGTGTTTGTTTATAGGTAATTAAGATTCATCAAGAAGAGGTTCGCTCAAACTTTTAATTACGATAAGCAATTATAGTAATTAAACGTTAAAATATATGTATCTGTATAAAAAGAAATTTCGAGTTTAATCAATCTTCCGTTTGTAAAATAATAGACACAGTTGGTTCAAAATAATGTCAAATGATCACAAAATCCTTTACTAAATGTAATTTCAAAAATGTATAACAAATAGCCATGTGTGTAGGTGTTTAAGTACCTGATACAAGCGGTTATTATCATTTACTATAAAATGGAAATTATTGTTCCATGCGTGTTAATATAATATATATGTACTGTCAACCGTGAAATTACAAGGCCGTAATTTAATGCAAAATGGGCAGATAAAATTGAATTGAATTATTGTAACAATGAAATGCACAACGACTCTACAACGACAAAAAAGGACATAATGTACGAATTGTAATGAATAGGTATTATTTAAATATTAATTATGAGCAAAAGGAAATTATCTATATGGCACCCTATAATGGGAATACCAAAAGTAATTGAACAAACTAGTCGTAATTTTTGATAAAAATATAATTCAGTTACTGAAATCGTATTTTTTCTTCATTTAAAACACTAATAAAGAAACTGCACTGATAGATGCTGTTTTTGGCTCATATTGAACTCTGAAAGAAAATATTATTCAAAAGCTAAACTTAGTACTTTTTTGAATACTTCAAGATATACCTATAATCCTTACTCGTGGTTCACTACGTAAAATATATAAAAATTTTAATTAATGTATTCGATTCTTCAAACGGCATATCTTACTTTATCTGCAAGCTCGATTAAGAAATAATTGTATAGAAAAAAAGCTTTAACTTTACATTAGAAGAAGTTTTTAATTAAATTAAATTGCAATCAAAATTCAATATTTTTTTAGAGAACTATCTATAAGTGTCACCGTGATAATCATTTTGAGAAGCCTATGCTTTCCATTGCATAACAAGCGCAGTGGCGAAAATTAAATTGGAATCGGTTGTATGAACTCGGGAAGAAGATGTAGACTGAAAGATGATAAACAATGCAAACTTGCGCTTGGAATAAGGAAAGCTTTTTACTAATTCAAAAGTTTCTTAATTAGGAGAACTTGTTAACAGAACTACTTTTATGAGCTTTAGAAATAGAAAGGAACCATTGTATACAGTACAGATAGAAACGATTTACAAATAAAATTTTCAAAAATACGAACTTTTTTCCTAATCTTTTAAGACAAAATATGTATTTGTCGCGTACTAACACACGTAAATTAAGTAAGGAAGATAAAAACTTACATGTTTATCTCTGAACATTAGAAGAATTACAGTTAGATTTAATGAAAATCCAAAAAATCCTATTAAAAGTAAGACAAACGCCGATGCATTATATGTGCTTTCAGACATCAACAAGTCTTGATCTTCAACGTGCTTACTGTTTATAACAGTCGTAGAATAAGTTTCGTTATTTGTTATTATCAATTCCCTCATAACGAGGGAATCAAAACTTTTACAACTTTTTAATTATAAAGAACACTTATTAAAAGTATATATATATTCCACTTTCGACAAAATCGTTATGTGTGATTAACTTCATTAGTTCGTTCCAAATTTGTTGAACACGATTTCGCGCATTTTGGGAGATAGACTAGGTCAAGGGTGAAACTGTCGGAAGGAACAGATTGTACTGGATATCAAGAGGAACAGCTATGTATTAAAACGAATGAATTGTGCCAATCGTCTCCAAGTTCACTGAGTCGACTCAGAAGGTCAAACTTCAGGATAATCGCGCATTTTTAAGTCTTAATACCGAAAGATGCTGTTCGCATTTCATCACTTAATTTGTTTGATGGACTTAACCGATTAAAAGTTACTTAATATCAAAACAAATTTGTTGGTTTTTCTGTCAGCTTCATTTTTGTTTTTTTTTGTTAAATTCTTAATGGCCTAAGTCAGCACTATAAGATACGCGTGCTCTTAGTCGTTAAGGACTTCTGTGGAAAATTATCAAGGACTATAATTAGATCTAAATCAAATTTGTATGGAGTATGCATTTTTGAAACGAAAAAATCATTCAAACAGATAGAGCAAGCAGAGGAATTGGGAATTTTTTCGGATACAAAATAGGATCGATAACGTTTATTGCGTTCTAATGAAAACTATTTTTATTCACGATTCCATAATACTGTGTACAATGTTTGTTCAATGTCGATACGTATTTAATATTCATTAGAATAATAACACAAAGGGAATCGAATGCTACAGATAATAATCCAAATGCATATTCACTCCATACCGGTCGTAACTGAGGTACTATTACTTTAGATGCCCATAAGGAGAAATGTGAAAAATACGAATAATGGTTTCCTTTTGACGTAACAGTTAACTACAAAAGGTATCTACATAATACACTGTTGTCACTGAAACAAACTTTAAAATACCTGCAAAAAGTTTAAATTAAAGAAAAGCATGTACCCTCAACTTGATTACAGTAATTTCGGGCGTGCCTTTTCCTGGAATATAAATTACGCGGGAAGTAACCGTAGAAATACGTAATTGTTATTGTTTCTCCAAAGCTTAGAAATTTCAGCATTTTATACGGCCCTCACAGGTCAATACAAGCATAATAAGGAAGCCAGATTTAACTAAACACGGTCTTGGAGAACTAAAGCGATTGTAGATATAGAAAAGTATGGAAAAGAATTACCGAAACGATTTGGAATGTGAAAGTAAGATACCTTGAGAAATTAACAGAGTGGATACAATTACAGGTATTGTATTTAATGAACAAACGCGACTGTTCCTTTTTTCGGTACTCATTCCCTACTCCCTACCCTTTCCCTACAAGGGGAGAATAATCTTAGAAAAATTACCATGCTCGTCACTTTAAAGTGGATGCAAGAAATATTAACAAACTTAATATTAGTACAATACAATATTAGGAGAACTTTTATAAACTTTACTAGAAATCATAGCAATTTTTACTGTGCTAGCATGGTTAGTTTTCCATTATCAGTCAAGACACTCAGAGTATGAGACAGCATGGTAATTTTCGCAAGATTTTTATCTCCGTGTAAGAAAGTTTACTTCATTGTGTAAATATTGTATTTAATTAAAGGTGAACAGAATATTTTAACTTTAAATAAATTAGCAATTACACAAATGTAATTGCAATTCTCCGTGAACAATCCATACCACTTTTGTGCAAGAAAGAACATCAACTCTGCAATCAATCACCTTAATATATAAATATGTTATATAATGTTTCACATACTGCAAAAATTATGTAGTTAATTCTTATAAGCCAATTAAAAGTTATGTAGCGCAAAATCCAAAATCAAAGCATGAGAGAGGAATCGTCAAAGCTCACATAATGTCAGAGACTAAGGTTGGGAAATTGGTACTAATTTGAATTAAAATTCCCTCGACCATTGCTGGTCAAGGCAGGACCACGGTTAAAGGTCATGAAACCTAAGGTTATAGCCCTCAAAACATCGTCAAGTTGTCAAATTTTGGTCCTACGATGCCTGAAAAAGAATGACGGCTTTGATTTTAGACTTTTGAAACCCAAAATAAAAGCTCTGGGAGCAGCGTCACAGCTGGTATAGTCAGCGACAAAGGATGGCAAATTGGTACTAACTTGATTGAGTTTTCCTCGACCATTGCTGGTCCAAATAATTGTAATTAATAAATCAGCTGTTAGTAATTACTTATAAGGGTTGAAAATAAATTTCTAGTTTTCATTATATATTCGATAAAGGTTTATTTATTCTCTCTGGCAAAACAAAAAATACAAATTTATAAAAATGCCAACA